CCCCCCCCCCCCCTCCTTTTAGCTGTGCTGGGGGCATAGGAAGTGGGTGAAAAGGCGGGAAGTGATATCGGTAGGATAGATAGACTAGGGGAGACATTTTTAACCCACCTTTGGCAACGTAGGAAGGAATAATTGACCATCGGTGATCGGTCCTGTGGGAACAATGCTCCATCCTCTCGAGGACGCGTGGTCAATGGTCTTACCGCTACAGGGCATGCAAAACATGAGAATACGCGCTCTCCCCCCCGCCCCCCTCTTTTACCGGCCGGGCTAGCTTGAACGACCGACCCCTCCTTCTCCCCGCCCCTGTCCCACACCCCTTGTCCTTGCGCTTAGACTCGCGCGGAGGATGCCGCGGTCGGGGCGATAGTCTCGCCGCTTTTGGAGTTCCCCATCGATCAGGCGGCCGGCGTGATTTTCAATATTGTCGGGGGAACCGACATGTCGTTGACGGAGGTGAGTTTGAGGACTCCCGTGTCGAGGGTCTCTTCTGTGTTGAAACGTGCAGGGCATCTGTGAAACAGAATGGCGAAGAATGCACCTAGGCATGCACCACGTCGTTCTTTTTGCTGCCCTTCTTGCAGCTCTTGTAGCTTGATCGGGAACTCTGGATAATCGTTCACCGATGCCGAAAAGGAAATAAGGTTGACAAGTGTACGCCGTCTTGACGCCTTGAGCCCCTCTTCTCTAGGCTCGGGAACTTGTCCCTTGGGTCGGGTGTTGTGGGCTGATGCACGGAGCAAAGGCGGGCTTAGAAAACGTCTTTTGACAGTGGTGACGGCCGTGCTACTGCTGTGCATCACTTGTCCGAGGAACAAGCCGACCGCGCTGCTCATCCGTCAGCCGCAGCAAATGCTCGGTTGACTCACCACGCTCTTCCATGCGTGACGTGATCACGCCTTGCCGTTACTTCGCTTCGAACAAGGGCGCTACAAAGATGTGTGTGTGTGTGTGTGTGTGTGTGTGTGTGTGTGTGTGCAAATCGTCCTCGAGAAGGCCCCATGCGGCGGATGTTTTCTCACCACTTTCCATGGCTTCACCTGGCGTGCGCAGCCTACGTGCACATGCACACATTTTTAGTGGGTGTGATGGTGGGTGTCTGAGATATACTCGTTTCCGGCCTCCGCTTCCCTCCGTGCGGCAACATTAACAGGTTAGCGCGGCGGCGAGCATCATCCAGAGAAACGTGCACCCAGACGCGAACATCATCATTGGGGCCCTGGTAGACGAGCGCTGCGGAAAGGAAGTCTCCGTGACCGTCCTGGCGACAGGTTTCAAGGTAACAATGTCGTCTATCGGTGGTCTAACTGTCGACTTTGTTCGGGTTTGCATGTAGAGCGCGTTACGCTCGAGCTTCTTTTCTTTCACGTCTGTTGACGCGTTTGACGTCACGCTGCCTCCCTCGCGTGCGTATCGCAATACTGCGCCCTCTTTCACTGTCCTCTCTACTCCTCCCTCGTCCCTGCCCTCCGACCCCCCCGCCCCTCGTCTCTCTCCTTCTCTATCTCTCTCCCTCCCTCCCTCCCTCCCTCCCTCTCGCTCCCTCTCCCTGTCGCCCAGGCCCCGTTAGGGTCCTCCGGTGTTGACGCCAACGAAGGGGCGCAGGCTGCAAGACCACAGCACTCGGGCGCGGTAGCTCAAGCGAGAGCGGATTACACCAATAGCGGCACACCTGCACCAAACGGAAGACCTCATGTGGAAGGAGGAGCTAGGAACGGGGATGAGTGGACGAGCAACGTAAGCCAAAAAGGGTACGGGTACAACAACAGCGTGGGATACGCAAACGCCCCCCCCCCCCCCCCCCCCCCC